ACACATTCACTGACGCTGCGACCAGTAAATCGCATATTCGGTGCTCGACGCAGTACAACTGAAAGGATGAAAAGAACATACACACACATGAGAGGCTATGTAAATATGCAAGTTGAGTTGGAAAAAACTTGCTAGCTAAATCACGCTCCGATTAGTGGAGGGGTTCCGTAAATGTTTTAATAGCACTGGCAATTTAAAGCTGAGATTGGTCTCTTTACTTCAATACGAAGATTTATTAAACAAGTTTTGTGGAAGATAGTATCAAAAACACAATAAATGGTATTAACGGCCCTCCTGCCTTAAATACAATAAAAAAAAGGTCTAGTACAAAGAAATACATTATCAAACATCGTTAGAATGATTCAATTTAGGTGAAATATGAAGATAATTTTATAATACCGCGCGCATAGAAACCCACGTCCCTATGGGCAAAAAATTGAGAGAGCCGCTTTTCATAAGTTTTTTTTGAAACGAATTTCTCAACAGCAAGACCGTTCGACTTGGGCAGGAACAGGTCGTAATCATTTGGTGCCAGGTTTGAACTATAAGATGGAGTCATAAGAACCGCCCAACCAAACTTCCGGAGCTTCTGGAGAGTATCGTTGAGTTAGCATGATGGAACACAATACCTCTCCTATTGACTGCCGCTTCTGGTCGAGTGTTTGCTTTAGAAGGCCCAATTGTTGACAGTACAGACCCGAATTAAGAGTTTTACGTAGCACCCATAAATCCAGCCCCTTTTTGTATCCAATCTCATTTTTTAGTTCAAAATAGTTTTTCGTGCAATGTTTAGTTTCTGGGCAATCGGAATAGCGCTTACATAACGGTCGGACTCCATGATTTTCATTATTTTATTTTTATGCTCAATGATTGGTATTCCAGAGCTTGGTGCACCTTTGACATCAACATTACCGGAACGGAATCGATGGAACCAAAATTGCGCGGACTTAACTGTTACAATACCAGAACCATAAACCCTTCACACGCCATAAAGCGTAATCCGATTGCACTTATACAGCGAGAGTTAGATTACTAAAGCCATATAATAAAAAAATAATAGTTTGCTTTTTACTTGACCTTACATAAGCCAGCGTGGTATAGTACGAGAAATTATGGGTTTTAAACTCCGACCGAAAAAATTGAAAACTTAAAAAAGTGTAATTTCAGGAAGAAAGTCCACACACACGGAAATAATTCAAGCATAAAAAAGCTTATGGACATTCAGCAGGTCTTTAATGGCGGTCTAAACCATATAATATCAATCCTGACATAATAAATATTTCCCGTATAGATATTTCCAATACATTATCAACAAATATTATAAATTTTTTTTTAACCGCTACACCCCAATAGGTAATTTACAAAGAATACATTCGAGGATAGGCATCTTTGAGCCTTTGTTTTTGCTTTATTCTTCTTCATCTTCATATTCGATATTGTTAACGTTGTGGGCACCCCTCTCTCAAAAAAAAATTCCCATGCTTTTCGTAGTCCACTTTTAGGCGCGGTACAGTAAAATCGAGACTTTCTAATTTGATGAAATAATTCAGATGAAATAAAAAGAAGCTTTGTAGAATTCAAAAATTGAGATTACTCAAATAATACCTTTAAATGCATTTATCGGACACACTCGATTAAACCTCATATGACACGTCAAGAAAAGAAATTCTAAGTAAGTTCCTTTTTGATTCCGCCATTTTCTTTTTATTGGCTTGCGTTCTTAAATCGTTTGAATTAGTAACTAATATTGAAAATGATTTTGGAACTTCTTGTTTTTGGCAAAATAGATAAAATAACTGTCTTTAGTTTAGTTCTCATCTGAAAATTAAAGTATCGTATAAAAAAGTTATCGATTTCTAAAATTTTTCTCAATTACCTTGGTTCGAATTTTTAAATCGTAATTTACTATATAAATCTGCTCAGAAGCAATAGTTACTTTAAAATTCATTTAAAAATTTACCAAAAGGCTCTCAGATAAAACAAAGAGAGCGCCAAATAAAATAACGTTTCGCAACGAATGCTAGAAGTTTGAAAGAGATTATTATATCAATAAATTATCGAAGATTTTATGTTTTTCGTAATACCCATTAAGATTATTTTGTTTTTGTAGACACAGAAAATATTCCCAAAGTAAGAGAAACAGCCAAATTCTCAGTCGTTCAGCAGATAAAAATTAGAGTCTGTTCCGGCTACGTAGATTCGATTGTCATGGATCAATTTAGATCTACCGTTCGATCGGGAGCAAACCGAAATGTTTATTTGACATTATTTGTGATGAAACTTGACTTCGAAGATAAATATGTTTATACAGTGATTTATACAGTTTACAGTATACGCGATCACGAGCACTCTCCCAGCGAAATTTACATATAAAATACTGTACTTGTAAAATCTTCTTAATTTTTTTCATGGAAGAATTACAGCACACTTACACTTATCGTGAGTTGGAGCGTCGGGCTGTTCACTCTCGGCTCTTTCAGCTTTAATATTAAGGGGGTATTATAGTGTAGAATTTAAAAAGAATCGATTTTTTTATTTTGAAAGTTTAACTATTTAAGACTATGTCTACGAGAGAATTTTTGAAAATTTTAATTATTTCTGGAGATATAGACTTTTTACTGACCCGGCCTTTAAATTGGTTCGGCTGGGTCTAATCGAACTTTAAATGCGTTTTTCTCAGACCAGACTTTTTCAATACGATATCCACGATTTCTCGAGTTCTACTGGACCGATTTACTTGAAATTTTCAGAGAATCTTCTTTATAGACCTCTCTCAAGTATGAACTAGTACCAACCACAAATTTTTCAAACAGACGCTATTTTGTCAAAAAATTATAACTAGTTCATACATTTCGACATCATTGCAGATTGATAATCTTTATTTTTTTCGTTCCTTTTTGAAGAATTCCTTTTTGAAGAATTCTTGATTACGTAATTCACGTTCCTTCTTGAAAAACTCGAAGTCGCTGCAGTGTTCTCAAAAAAAGAACGCTTTTCATCCTAGTGCAACACTGCTGCTAAGAAACTCTTATATAAGAGCACTTTATAGTTACTTACTTCGCTCGTGCATTTCGGTATTTTTGTTACCCAAATATAAATGTCACGTATCGTATGCACGTTTGTATTGTATTTTAATGTCACGTCACTTGTAATTTCATTAATAGCAAGTAAATGATAAACAAGCATCAAAAAATAAACAACAAAAACAAACAAGAATGATTTTCCACAAAAAAAAAACGCAGAAACGCATGAAAATTACAGTTAACAATAACAAACGAATAGCACACAACGAAAGCAAGCATAAACCAAACCACTCGTCCTTGGCAAACGAGCGCACACGAGCATGCAAGCGATGATTGAAGTGGATGATTGAAGCGAAGAGGTAAATAACTCAAATAAAAATACAGTAGATTTGCCGTTATTAGCATTATTAGCAGCAGCAGCACCAGCGAGTCAACATCATCAAATCAACAAAAGCGACACGAGGACACAAATTCATTGCGGTGCAAAACTATCAAGCCACCATCAAGCTAACAACAGCAATAATATTTGCGAGAATGTGTCATCACGGACGCCGCTGCCAGAGGCGCAGACGAAGTAATTGCTGCTGATCAGCTGGCGCGCGGCAGCAACAACTGCATATGATTGCTTTTACTCGTATGTATATGCGTATGCAATTTTTTTTTTACCGTTACTATTGTGGCTGTTCTCAATTGTACATTTGCAATATTTTGCATTTCTAATTTATATGCTGCATGTGACAAGACAACAACAACAACACCAACACCAATATAACCAGCACCAATACACCAACCTCACCAAACACCCACCCACCAAGCATCCAAAAGCAGCGCAAAGCAAATGCATCATCATCACTTGGCTTGACTTACCTTCACCTTCGCTGTCAACATCTTTTACAGTAAATTCATGGAAATCACTTGGAACGCTACCCCGCTGCTGCCATGCAGGTGTCGGCCCAACCGTTGCTGCGGCTGTCGCTTCGTAATTTCTCAATTGGAATATTTGATTCTTTAATGATTTCCTTCGCCGCAGATACTCGGCATGTTGCAATTGTTGATTACACAATGCTGTTTGCAAACATTTTAAAATATCATTGTTGTTGCTGTTGGCTTTGCCGTTGCCGTTGCCGTTGCCTTGGTTGCTGTTGTTGGCAGCAGCATCGAGTGCCTGCAGCACTGCATTGATGACCTCAAGTGCGGCATTTATGATGGAATGCTGAGAAGCACTGCTGATGTTCAACAAATGCAAACAATAATCGAAAATTTCAATAATTTGCCTGCACTCTGTGTTGATTGGCATTGCAGTTGTTTTTGCTGCTGCTGTTGTTGTTATATGCGCACCGCCTGCGCCTGTCTTCATCGGTGTCGTTCGTGTGTTTGCCTTGCCTTTATTGACTCCGGCGTGTGCTTGTGTGCTGTGGCCATCATCGCAATCGTCCGGACAATCAGTGCTGAATCCATGTATGATTAATGGCAACAGCAAGCGCAGGAAGCCGAGCACACCGACCACGTTATGTTGTTGCTGGTCGGCAAGTAGAAATTCTGTTGAAGAAGATATAAATGGAAGCGAGTTGGAAATTAAGATATTTTCATGTGCAAATATTTATCATTTAATGTTAAAAATTCGTTTGAAGAGTACTTGAAATAGTAAAAAAGGTTTATGTGAGGGTGCTACGTATGTAAAAGGTGTACTTGAAAATTTTTTGATTAGAAAAATCTTTTATAGGTGCATTTCTTATAACATAAAAGTATATAAAAAGATCTTAATTGTATAGGTCATTTGGTATGGAAGCTATATGCTATGACGAACCATTCTGAACAGTACGAGATTGCAGCGTAGTCTTCGATAATTATCTATGTATGGCAGCAATATGTTACTAGTGATCCGATATCGGCGGTTTCGACAAAAGGACATTTTCTTGAAGGGAAAAGGACCTGTGCAAAATTTCCGATGGATATCTTAAAAACCGACGAATTAGTGCGCGTATATAGAGACAGACGAACATGACTAAATCGACTCAGTGCCTACTTTATAGGATCTCCGACATTCGCTTCCAGACGTAACAAACTTCGTTTTAAACTTATTACACCATGTTCAGGGTATAACCCTAGAATCATTCATAAGCATCTTGTAGAAGACACGTACTCAATTCAACCGGGCATAGAACAAATATCAAACATCGTGACTTACAAACAAT